CGCAAGTCCATGGTGTCAGGCTGGAGGCTTCTCGTTACTCAAGTAGGTTCAGAGGCTGACAACCCAAGATCAGCAGGTCAGATGGTGAGCCACTGGCTCATAGGCTGCAAAGGCTGATGAATCCTAAGATCAGCAGGCAATATGGAAGGCTGTAGCAAAGTCCCAAGAACCAGAGGTCAGATGATGACTACCTGGATGCAGGATCCAGAGCCAGAAGTGAGCCTTGCTGTAGTATCCATTTATATGGTGGAGGCAGGGCAAAACACCCAAGGAAACTCACTTTATATCAGGGTGGTGACTTAAGATATTTCCGCACTAGTCCTGTTTCATTAACAAAGCAAACATAACCTAATCCTTATTAACATAACCTAATCCTGTCTCATTAACATATAGAGGTCAGGATTTATAGCACATCACGAATGGAGGATAATTATTAATACATCAGATTACAAAATGGAGGAAACTGCACAATACTGGGAATCATGGCCTAACCACGTTGACACACATACCATTAACTATCATACTATTCATTAGGTTTTTTTTACATTTTCTAGTTTTCCAAGTACAACGCTTTCATCTCCTTGATTAAATTTAGTTCTAGCTATTTTATTCTTTTAGTTGTTATTGTAAATGGAATGTTTTCTCAATTTTCTTTTCAGCTTGTTGATTAATGGTGTACAGAAACACAACTGATTTTTACATGTTAATATTGTACCCTGCAAATTTGTTGGAATCTTTTTAGGTCTAGTAGCTTTCTTGTGGATTTTTGGGGATTTTCTATATGATTATGTCATCTGTAAATAGAGATGTTTTTATTTCCTATCAAAATTGCATGGCTTTTATTTTTCCTGCCTCATTTCTCTGATGTCCAGTAGAATGTTGAAAGTTGATAGGTGCTGTTGAGTCAGTTCCGACTCATAGTGAACACATGTACGACAGAACAAAACACTGCCCAGTCCTGCATCCTCCTCACAATTGTTGCTATGCTTGAGCCCATTGTCACCACCGTCAGTCCATCTTGTTGAGGATCTTCCTCTCTTTCGCTGACCCTGTACTTTACCAAGCATGATGTCCTTCCATATGGATTGATCCCTCCTGACAGTATGTCCAAAGTAAGTGAGACAAAATCTCACCATCGTCTGTTTTAAGGAGCATTCTGGCTCCTTAGGACAATGTTGAATAGCACTGATGAAAGCAGGCATCATTATCTTGTTCTTGTTCTTAGGGGGAAGGCTTTTATTCTTTTACCATGGAATATGATGCTACCCACTGCTGTCAAGTCAATTCCGACTCATAGCAACCCTGTAGGACAGAGAATTGGCCCATAGGATTTCTAAGGCTGTCAAATGCTATTTTTTTTGTTGTTGTTGTTTTGTTTTTAAATAGCTTTCCAAAATTAGACTTTGCCCTGGTCAAGCTGAGCTAACTTCCCCAGTATCGTGTACTGCCTTACTCATAGGGTTTCCAAGTCTGTAAATCTTTATGGAAGCAGACTTCCACATGTTTCTCCCACGGAGCAGCTGGTGGATTTGAACCGCCAACCTTTTGATTAATAGCCAAGTGCTTAACCACTGCATCACCAGAACTCCTTAATATGAGGCTAGTCGTAGGTTTTTAGTGAATGCTTATGTGAAGAAATTTCGCTTTGATTCCTAGTATGTTTTTTTATCATCAAAGGGTGTTGGATTTTGTGAAATAAATTTCGTCAGTTGAAATGATCATGTGGTTTTTTTCCTCTGTATTATTGATGTGGTGTATACATTGATTTTCTAATGTTTAACTATCCTTCTGGGATAAACCCCACTTGGTCAGTGATGCATAATTCTTTTAATATGCTTTTGGGTTTAGTTTTCTAGTATTTTGTTGAGTATTTTTGCATCTGTATTTATGGGGGAGATTGGTCTGTCATTCCCCACCCCCCGGTCATGTATGTATCTGGGTTTGATATCAGAATAATGCTAACCTCATAGAGTGAGTTAGGACATGTGTTATTTCTTTTGCATTTTTCAAGATTCTCTATTTTGGCTTTCGACAAGTTGAATTCCAATTTCTGTTCATGTGGATCTCTTTGAATTATTCCTTCTTGGTGGTCATTGTGCTTTTTGGCTAGGCAGATTCATTCATAAAATTTGGGACAATTACAGCCATTATTTCTACAAATACTTTTTGCCCCTTTCTCTCTTCCCTTTGGTACATCTGTAATGCCTGTGTTGGTCTACTTGGTGTTGTGCAAATCCATCTGGCTCTGTTCACCTTCATTCTTTTTTCTTTCTGTTCATTAGGCAATAATTTTTGTTGTTCTATATCCAAGCTCACCAGTTCTTCTACCGGCTGAGATGCGCTGTTTCTCTATTGTACTTTTCAGTTCCAAAATTTGGTTCCTTTGTATAATTAATATCTCTTTATTGATAATCTCATTTTTTTGTTATTATTAGTTGCTGACCCCATATGTGTGGTAGAACTCCATAGAGTTTTCAAGGCTGTGACCTTTTGGAAGCATATTGCCAGGCCTGACTTCTGAGGTGCTTCTGGGTAGGTTCAAACTGCCAAACTTCCAGCTAGTAGTTAAGCACTTAACCTTTTGCGCCACCCAGGGACTCCTCTGATTTTGTTCATACATTGTTTTCCTTTGGTTTTTTATCCATGTTTTCCTTTAGCTCTTTCTCTCTAGCCCACTCTGGGACTGCGTGCTACAACTACTGTAAGACTGCCACCTAACCAGGGAGCAGTTGAGGCATGGAGAAGAAAAAATTCTACAAAGCTTTCCTACCATTTTGAAGTCACCTTTACCTTGTCTCTGTTTAGTTGCTGTAAACCTTTGATTCTGAAGTTCTTACAAAGTTGAACATTTTCTGCCTTCTTTTTTTTTAATGTGTATATGTGTTTCCTGGTGGACAGAGTCTGGAACTACTTACGTCACCCTCTTGCTGACTTACGTCGCATTGCTCTCCGTCCCTTTACTTTCAGTATTTCTGTGTTGCTATATGTAATGTGGATTTCTTGTAGACCAAGTTCTATGTTTTGTTTTATTGATAAAGTGATTATTGGTATAGTTTTATTAATATCTACCTTATTTGTAACTGTTTTCTATTTTTAGCTCTTTCTTTTTTGTCTTCAACTCTTTCCTCATCCTGTTTTAATTGAACATTTTTGTGAGTCCATTTTCTCTCCATTCTTAGCATATAAATATTTTTTTTTTACTTTTTTAGTGATTATTCTGGAGTTTGCAGAATATTTTCATAATTAGTTCATTCAACTTTAAAATTACACTATTCCTCTTCTTTGATAGTGCAAGTATCTTAAAACAGTATTCCCAGTTCTTCCCTCCTGCCCCTTACAGCATTGCTGTTGTTCATTTCACTTATCTATACAGTATAATCACTGAATCTATTGCGGCTATTATTATTTTAGCAAGTTGTTATTTGTTAAACGAATTAAGCATAAGAAAAAGTATTTTACCTTCCTATGTTTTTTTTCTCTTTTCCTGTTCCATCCTTTATACACATCCAAGTTTCTGATCTATATCATTTTCCTTCTAATTTATGAAGATGTTTCTTTAACATTTCTTGCAAGTCGGGAATACTGGCAACAAATTCCCTCAATATTTGTTAGTCTGTGAATGCCTGTATATTTTCTTTACTTTTAAAGGATAATTTTGCTAGATGCAGAATTCTAGGTTTGTTGTTTTCTTCTTTTAATCCTTTAATATTTCATTTCACTGTCTTCTTGCTTGTATGGCTTCTGAAGACAAGTTGGCTATACTTAATCTTTCTCTATAAATAAGATGTGATTTTTTTTCTGTGACTTTTTTGATTTTCTTTCTGTTTGATTTTCTGAAGTTTAAATATGATATGCCTAGGGGTAAATTTTTTTATATATCCTGCTTGGTGTTCTCTGAACTTCTAGTTCAGTGGTTTGGGGTCTATAACTAATTTTGTAAAATTTTCAGCTATTATTGCGACAAATATTTAATTTCTTCCCTGGTATTCTCATTACGTGTATGTTACAACTTTTGAATATTCTGTTCTCCCGCCTTTTTTTTTGTTCTCTTTTTTATTTTGGTTTTGCATGTTTCTTTTGAACTGTTTTAAAGCTCACTGATTTTTTTTTGACTGTATCTAGTCTATTACTGATTCCATTAAAAGCATTTTTCATTTCTATTTCCATGTTTTTGATTTCTAGGATTTCATATTGATTTTTCTTACAGTTTCCATCTCTGCTCACGTTACCCATCTGATCTTCAAGTGGTCTACTGTTTCAATCATAAACCCGTTGCCACTGAGTCAATTCTGACTCATAGCGACCCTATAGGACATAGTAGAACTGCCCCATAAATTTAATAAATTTAATTCCAAGGAGTGACTGGTGGATTCAAACTGCCAGCCTTTTAGGTTAGCAGCCGAGCTCTTAACCACTACGCCACCAGGGTGCCATATGAATCATAGTATTAAGTTCTCAGTCTGTTAATTCCAAAATTTATGCCATATATGAGTCTACTTCTGATACTTGCTTTTTCTGTTCAGTCAAAAGGAAGAGCTGCTGTCTTTCAGTATTTCCCAGTTATTAATAGCCTATCTTGCTTTCACCCTGTTCTTCATGTTTTGTCTCTTCCAGTGGGCCTTATGGAAGGAGGCAAATTTTTTTTCACAAATGATCTGAATATGAAAATGGGTCTTTCATTCATAGAGGATTTCTTTTTCTTCTGCTGTTTTCTGCCTGTTCTGAATCATTAATGTAGAGAATATAAGACTGGATAGGTCGTAGTCAAACCGTGAAGAGATAAGGTTGCTGTGTTCAAAATACTGTTAAATCTGTGATGTAATGTCAGGAGGCAAATGTAGTCAATGAAAGGATGACGCTGATGGCCAGAGTCCAGAGTAGAACACAGGACCTTGTGTGACTTCTCTGTGATTTCTCTACTCCTCAGGACTGTCAGCCTCACCTCTCCTTCTGTACACACTAGGGAAGATGGCTGATCCAGAATATGTGTGATGTTTTAGGACTCAGTGGTCTTTGAGGATGTGGCTGTGGAATTTACCCAGGAAGAGTGGGCTTTGCTGGATTTTTCTCAGCGGAAACTCTATCGAGATGTGATGATGGAAAACTTCAGGAACCTGGATTCAGGTAAGGATGACTTCATTTTTTTATCTACTTATTTCATGAACAAATATATTGTACTCATTGATCTTTTTATAGGATTTGCGTTAAGGAATTGTAATATGTTGGCAAACATGACACGCGTTTTGTCTGCCCTCATGGGGCTTAGACTCTAGTGGCTTCCCCATGAAAGTAAAAATCTATTAAGTTGACTAATTGTTGTTAAAAGCCTTTAGATTCTTTAAGTGTTGTGTGAACATTGACTTCAGGGGACACTTTGTGGAAAAAAGAGATTTGTGGTTTGGGACCTCATTAGCGTCTTTGCAAGTTTATTACAAATTTGATGTGATTATTTTGCCAAAAATAAACTCACACCTGTCTTATCTATAGTGACCATGGAGACCAGAGTATTGGCTCAATGTCAGGGAAATGTGCTTGTCTGTTTTCTCTTTTAATTTGTCTTTCCCCATGAGCATCATGTCAACGACACTAATTTTTCTCCATGAGAAGCAAGGGAAAGGTCTTAGGAGAGTGGAGATTGGACTTATCCAGAGCTGTAGTGTCAAGGAGCACCAGGAAGGCAAGCATCTTTTGAAGGACCAGCCTTGCTCGGATGGAATTACATTTGAAGAAATCAACTTGAAATAATCTTTACTTTGAGGAGGTGGAAGTTACACACCTACCAGAGCTTTTTTGATTTTTCATCATCCTCTCATGCCTTCTGTGTTTGTGGGGAAAGAACTCCCTCATTTCCTCTTTTAATGTTACCTTTATGCATATTCATTGCGTGCAATACCTTTTTATTTTGCTTTCCTAATTACACTCTTCTTATGTCACCATCATTCTCAATTGTCATGGAATTATTTCTTAGTAAATTTCTTACCCTTTTGACTATTGCCAAAAACCCGTAACAGCCAAATACCTCAAAGTCAGTCATTCTTCACATGTGCATTGTTTCTCATAAAATTTCCTTACTGTTTTATCTTGTGAAACTGCACTTAAAATTATTGGGTCAGTTTTTAAACAGGATAATAATGGACAAACGTCCATGAAGAATGACTCCTGGCCCTCCATGTTAGGAGAAGTACATGAATTCCATGGCATTGAACATCAGCACAACAACCGGAGGAGGCACGTAAGGTATTATTCACAAGGCAGTAAACATTGCCTCAGTAGTTCTCAGGTGTCATAATGTGTGTGTGTAAAACTAGCTGTACAATGGTGTGTTTACATAGTTTTCACAACATGGTATTTCCATTAATGTGAATTACATATTGAGTATTTAAAACATATTTCACTTGTACCCAGTTATTAAAAAGCTCCGTTATTTAGAAAAACTGTAATGGACGCACCCTCTGTGAAATGATTCAACCTATATACAACACGAGACAACTCGGTACAAAACACACATTCACTGTATATGATAATTGTGAAATGGTAACAAATTTAGTTCTAACAACATGCTTCCTATTTTTAACAGAGTATACACAGTGGAGAGACTCTGTGAAAGTAAAGATGGTAAAGTAAATAAAGGTGAAGAAGGTAATCAATGTGGAAAAACTTTGAGCTGGATTGGAAATCTTACTAGGCTGAAAAGAACTCCTGCTGGAGTAAATCCTGAATGCCTTGAGTGTGGAAAAGCTTTCATGGATCAGTCATCATTTGATCATCATAACAGATCTCGCAGTGGACACAAACCTTATCATTGTAAGGAATGTGGAGAATACCGGAGATGTCCTTCTTACCTAAAACCTCACATGAGAGAGAAACTTTATAAATGTCAGGATTTGGGGAAACCTTGTAGTTGTTCCTTACCCCTCACTAAACATATAAGAACTCACAGTGAACAGAGGCCTCATGAATGTAAGGAGTGTGGGAAAGCCTTTGGTTATCTCTCAAGCCTCACTAGACATATAAAAACTCACAGTGGAGAGAGGCTTTTTGAATGTAAGAAATGTGGGAAAGCCTTTAATCGTTCCTCGGTCCTTGCTACACATTTACGAATTCACAGTGGAGAGAGGCCTTATGAATGTAAGGAATGTGGGAAAACCTTTAGTCGTTCCTCAAACCTCACTAGACATACAAGAACTCACAGTGGAGAGAGGGCTTATGAATGTAAGGAATGTGGAAAAGCCTTTAGTCTGTCCTCACACCTCACTAGACATATAAGAACTCACAGTGGAGAAAAGCCTTATGAATGTAAGGAATGTGGGAAAGCCTTTAGTCGTTCCTCATCCCTCACTACACATATACGAATTCACAGTGGAGAGAAGCCTTATGAATGTAAGGAATGTGGGAAAGCCTTTAGTCATTCCTCAGCCCTCACTACACATATAAGATCTCACAGTGGAGAGAGACCTTATGAATGTAAGAAATGTGGGAAAGCCTTTAGTTGTTCCTCAGCCCTCACTACACATACGCGAACTCACAGTGGAGAGAGACCTTATGAATGTAAGGAATGTGGGAAGGCTTTTAGTTTTTCCTCATCTCTAACTATACATATAAGATCTCACAGTGGAGAGAGGCCTTATGAATGTAAGGAATGTGGTAAAGCCTTTAGTTGTTCCTCTCACCTCACTACCCATATAAGAACGCACAGTGAAAAGAGGCCTTATGATTGTAAGAAATGTGGGAAAGCCTTTAGTCGGTTTTCACAACTCACTAGACATGTAAGAGTTCACAACAGAGAGAAGCCTTATGAATGTAAGGAATGTTGAGTATCCTTGAGTCAGTTTTCATACTTCGTTGGCCATATAAGGGCTCACAATGGATACAGGCCTCATGAATATAAAGAATGTGCGATCGCCTTTAGTTTTTCATCCTTTATGTAAACATCTTAGAACTTACCATGGAGATAAGCCTTATGATAGTAAGGAATATGGGAAAGCCTTTAGTTCTTACACCTCATTGACCATATAAGATTTCACAGTGGAGAGAAACTGCAGTGCAGTGAATTGCTATTACCTGGCCCTTCTAGCCATGGTCTTGGAACTCCCACAAAACGATTGCCTGGTACTATGCAAGTAAAGTGGATGGAACCCTTGTAGGGGATTTGTTGGTTTTACCATCCCACTAGGTTTAAAAGAGAGCCAGTCCCCAAGAGGAGTGGGGGGACCCCACTACCATCAAGAACACAGGCCAGGAGTGAAGTGCTTCCTTTGGAACTGAGGTACTTGTGCTGAGAACCTCCTAGACCCAGGAGGCAGAGAGCTTAACACTGTAAGAGGAGCAGCATGAGACAGAACCAGTGGCAAGCACAGCAAAGAAACAGCAGCAGAACCAAGACACCAGTGCAAGATGGCATAGTGGGCTTCCCAGCCCACCGAATGAGGCAGCCACAATGGGCTTGCCGACCTACAGCGTGAGAGCTGAGCACCTTCAGGCAGGTGGCTCCCTGATAGAATGGGGCACTTCTGAGTACCCGAAGTTGGGCTTACCAGCCCACGGAACTAGAGAGCTGAGCAACTTCAGGCAGGGGGCTTCCTTGCCAAGTGGGGTGCCTTCTGGCACTTATCAACTTGGCTAAGTAACACTTGCCCGAGCAGGGCAGAGGCAAGGCCTGAGCACGGCCTGGCAGCAAGAAGGGCCCGACCAGGGTTCATTCACAGAAACTGAGAAGAAGCTGTCCTAATAGAACTGTATCCTGAGTTATTCCTGTTATCTCCGTGTTAATCCTGATCCTGAAATGTAACCTTTTACTTCCCTAATAAACCCCATTAATCATGAGTCTGCTCTATGAGTTCTGTGTGGCTGTTGAAACAAATTATCAAACCCAGCAGAGAAGTAGAGAGTGCTGCAGGAGGCACGGCTGGTATCAGAGTTGGTTAAAAGGTTGGAGGGTGGAGGTATGTTTGAAGTCCATTTGATAGGAATCAGCTTTAGTCTTCGGGCTGCTGATGGTTATTCTGCTCCCCCTGAAGTTAGAAGATGGCTTCTGATGCCATACTATTTTTACAGAAGCCTTATGAGTAGTAAGGTAAGTGGGAAAGCCTTTAGTTGGTCCTCATCCCTCACCATAGAAGAGTTTACAGTGTAGAGAGGCCTTATAAGGGATTCGGGAAAACTTTTATTGCTTGGTAAACATCACGAACTCAACGGAGAGAGATCTTTATGTAAAGAATGAGGGAAACTTTTCAGTTCTCAGCCTTTTGAAGATATGAGAATGTTCACTGGAAAGAAACAGCGTGTAATGCTGGAAGGCTTTTGGTAATTGTCTTAAAAAATTTGAAAGAAAACACATGGGAGAGAAACCATGTAGTGTAAGGAATGTAATATGGGTTTTTGCTTTTCCTCTACTTTCCAAGATGTGAAGTTACATATGGGAAAGCTTTCACTAATTACCTCTATTAGATACGTGAGAAGTTATACTTCTGAAAAATCGTGTACATAAGAAACATGGAAACATCTATAAATCTTAGAAAATACGTGAAATACTACACTGTGGGTTGATCCTATGAATGTAAAATATGAGGGACTCCTTCAATGTCCCTTCTCAGGAGCCCTGTGAGACCTCACATGCAGAGACTCTGTGACTGTAAGTCAAGTTACCTTTCAGTTGTAGCACATGACTTTGGATAAGTATCAAAGTGTTACCTTGGTTTTCATATACAAATTGTCTTTATTACAAAATGTCATCAACTCATTTGTATTCTGAAGTGTATTTTCTTTTTATTATATTTTGAGTTTTCATACTTTTTTACATTATAATGTATTCATTGTAGAAAATTTTAACAGGAAATTTTAAGGAAAAGTGAAAAACCACTCAATATCCCACCACTCTTGGGTGTTTCCTTTTAGCCTTCTTTGTTTTGGGAAAGCAGCGTTTGTTTACCATATTTCAGTTGTATTGCATGTATAATGCTGTACTGAACGTTTTCTCCATTGCTTTTCTCATTTATCCTCCACAACTACTATGATCCCTGGTTTACTGATGAGGAAACTGCACACCATCTCACAAAAACATACCTTGCAAGTGGTGCTGTGACAAGCAGTGTTTGTGTGGAAGGAGAGTTTCTCTTGGGGGTTCATACAGACCCACAGTATGACCTAGCAGCAATGAAGCATCTGTCCAGCACAGGCCGAGAGCCTGTATTTTGAGAGTCCAGCTTTTGGTAATTCCATGGTTCCAGGAGAGTGTGCCAGTCCAGGAGCTGAGGCTGTAATTACTGGGGTGAACTGGACTGGCAACTGCTGCTCTATCTGAGGTGCATACTTGCTTCAGGGCCTAGTGGTTTATCCAGAGCAAACTGCTCCGTGCTAAACTGGGAGCTTCCTCCATGACACCTAATGTAAGGGGCCTGAGAAATGGTAGCCATAGGTAACAGAAGCATTCATATTAAGACTTTCGTTGGCCCAGCAATTCCCCTTTCAGAATCATCCTGTGATAAAATCTCTGGGCACCATGTTATTATGTGCCGTCTAGTGTTCTGACTCATAGCAACCCTATGTACAACAGAAGGAAACACAGGTCAGTCCTGTGCCATCCTCAGAATCCTTGTTATGCTTGAGCCCATTGCTGTAGCCACTGTGTCAGTCCATCTCATTCAGGGTCTTCCTCTTTTTTGCTCACCTCCTACTTTACCAAGCATGATGTTCTTCAGGGACTGATCCCTACTGATGACGTGTCCAAACGATGTGAGACATAGTCTCACCTTCCTTCTAAGGAGTGTTCTGGTTGTACTTCTAAGATTTGTTCTTCTGGCAATCCAGTGTTCTGCTATTCATAAGGTTTTCACTGGCTAATTTTCAGAAGTAGACTGCCAGGTCCTTCTTTCTAGCCTTAGTCTGGAAGCTCAGCTGAAACCTGTCCACCGTGGGTGACCCTGCTGGTATTTGAATACCGTGGCATAGCTTCCAACATCACAGCAACACGCAAGTATGATTGACACATGGGGGCTGGGCACCATAGTGGTGTCCGTTGATCCTGCCTGTTGCCATCAAGTTGATTCTGACTCACAGTGACCTTATAGGACAGAGTAGAACTGCCCCGTGGGGTTTCCAAGGCTGTAATCTTTATGGAAGCAGACTGCCACATCTTTCTCCCCTGGAGCACCTGGTAAGTTCGAACTGCCGACTTTTCAGTTAGCAGCTGAGTGCTTATCCACTGCGCCACCAGGGCTCCTTCCATTGATCTAGTGATAGTGGAAATACTTAAAGTCTGGAACCAGTGTCATGTACAACAGGAAGGCAGTCTTCAGTAAATGCCTGGCTGCATGTCACAGTATTAGTATTGTACTGTCAATAAATGACTTTCTTGAGAAAAAATTTAGTCCCCAGTAGGAGAGGCAATCATATTTTACTGTTGTTTGAAAAGCACAGTGTAAGATAGTGTATAGATAATGATGACAGTTTTATAAAGCACTTATATATGCAGACAAACCAGCCTGTAGAGAAGCCTAGAACATTAATAGGAATACTCTTGCAAAGACGAGGCTGATCTCTGTAGTTTTCTTCGATTTCCCCTAATTTGCAGGGTTTTGTTCAGTCATTGTTCATTCTTTGTATAACCATTTTCTTAAATTTAAAAACAGTAATCCAATTTGCAGTGTACGATAGTAAGAGTTTTGACAAATGCATGTAAGTCATAACCAGTACCACAATGACAGTACAAAAGAGTTTTTTTCCTTCTAAAAACTTTCCTCATGCTACCCCCTTTTAGTCAAGCCTTCCCCTCACCCTGAATGCCTGGCAACTGTTCTTATACATGTCATTCACTATGTAGCTTTTAGATTCTGGCTGCTGTTATTTAGCATAATTAGAGATTCATGTATGTTGATAAATGTACCAGGTTTGTTTCTGTTTTTTGCTTTTTGTAATATTGCACTGTGTACCATATCTCAGTTTTTGTATTTGCCAGTGGAAGGACATTTGAGTTTTGTCCTGTTTTTATGACTAAAGCAGCTATAAACATTCAAGCATAGATTTTTGTGTGCATGAACATAAGGTTTCATTTTTCTCGTGTGTATCCTTATGAGTGGGGTGCTGTGTCAAATGGTAGGTGTATGTTGACTTTTGTTAGAAATTGCTGATCTCCACCCCCCCGCCCCCCCGCATTCTCTTTTATAATTTATTTTGGTGAAAATGTACTCGGCAAAACATTCTCCCATTCAACAATTTCTGCATGTACAGTTCAGTGACATTGGTTACTTTCTTCAGGTTGTGTCACCATTCTGTCTCCACCCAAATTGTTCTCACCACCATTAACATTGGCTCACTGCCCCCTGAACTTCTCTGTGCTTTAGAGCAGGGCTTCCAACCAGAATTGAGCTGGTTCAAAGCCCTGGAGGAAAGAAAGACAGCAGTGCCCAGATCCCAGATCCCACAGGAAGCCATGAGGTCCAGGGTCACTAGGTGGAGCCCTCTGGTTCAGCACACAGAACCCCTCCCCTTTGGCACCTAGTGTCCCAGAAACCCAAAACAGAAGTGCAAGTCCTCTGCTGGCTGCCATGTTTGGTCACACTCCTGCTCCAGTGTGTGGTAGGTGTGTCTCTCAGCAAACTTCCTGGTCCAGTACTCCTGTCCCGTGGTCTAAGAGCGCTGCTTCCACTCTTCTGAGCAGTCCTGGCCTCTCTGGCCTTATAGCAACCGCATGAACGAAACGTTGCCTTGTGCTGCGCCATCCTCATATTGAAGGTCTTTCTTTGACCCTCTTACCACGCATGATGTCCTTTTCCAGGGATCAGTCCTTCCTAATATGTCCAAAGTAAGCAAGACAAAGTCTTCGCCATTCTCACTGCTAAGGAGCATTCTGGCTGTTCGTTCTTCTCACAGTCCATGGTATATTCAATATTCTTTTCCAATACCAATTCTATCATCTTCCCTGTTCATCTACGTTTTGCATGCATATGAGGCAATTGATCCCATATAGATAGATTTTAAAAGAATTCGGTGCTCAAGGCAGACATTCTTTACTAGTTAAGCTAAACTGTTGTTTGATTTTGAGAAGACGTCAGGGGGTATTTTTGTTTTAAGATTATTTCAGGGCAATAGTTTCATGGGTTCATCCAGCCTCCATGGCTCCAGAAAATCTGGATTTCATGAGAAATTAAATTTCTGTTTTATATTTCCCCCCTTTTAATCAAAGATTTGTCTATAGAATGTGTCTAGTGTCTCTATAATAGAAATACCACCAGTAGGTGGCTTTAACAAACGAATTTATTTTCTCACAGTTTAGTAGGCTAGAAGTCCAAATTCAGTTCGCTGGCTCTATTGGCAGGCTTTCTCTTTCTGTTGGCTCTGGGGGAACGTCCTTGTCTCTTTTCATCTCTTCCTTACTTTCTTGGTGATCTTCATATAGCATGGCGACTACCCCCATTTCAACTTTCTTAATCTCCTTTTATATCTCAAAAGAGATTGACTTAAGAAACACCCTACACTAATGTTGCCCCATTAACATAACAAAGAAAACCCATTCCCAAATGGGATTATATACACAGGTATAGAGGTTAGGACTTACAACACGTTTTGGGGGGGACACAATTCAATCCATAACAATCTTTGATCAAAATGTTCACTAATGGTAGCCAGGCATCATCCACTTCTGGTCTCATGGCAGAGGGCACAGTTGTTCATGTAAGTAATTAGCCTAACATTCCTTTTCCTCCTATTCCTCTCCTTCTGTTGCTCCAGGTGAATAGAGCCAATTGTATCTTGAATGGCTGCTTGCAAGATTTGAAGACCCCAGGCGTTACACAATGAACTAAGAGCTAGAACAGAAGCACTAAACGTGATATTAGGCCAATTAACTGGGATGTCCCGTGACACCATGACCTAAACTAAACCTCCAAACCAAGGCATCAGATCCACGGGATGTTTGGTTGTACATAAGCAGCCACAACAGCTATGCCTTTTTTTAAATTTTTTTTATTGTGCTTTAAGTGAAAGTGTACAGTTTAAGTTAGTTTCTCATACAAAAATTTATACACAAGTTGTTATGTGACCCTAGTTGCTGTTCCTATAACGTGACAGCAAACTCCTCCTTTCCACCCAGATTTCCCGTGTCCATTCAACCAGCTCCTGTCCCTTTTTGCCTTTTCATCTCGACTCTGGACAGGAGCTGCTCATTTAGTCTCATGTATCTATTTGAGCTAAGAAGCT